GCAAAAATTTAGTTTAGAATCAAATACAAGTAATCTAAATACGAGAAAAAGTATACACGTTCCGTATTCACTATCACTGGATAAAGATATATTCGTCAGAACATCGCTATTTTTCGGCATGACAAACCTGAAGAATTCTATCAAACTGTCTGGAAAATAACAGTCAACTAAAAACACAAAAACCAAGACTAGCTTTGTCGCTTTATGCTGTGCCGCAAATTCGTCCTCATCAATAACTCAAACAAGATTCGTCTCAAACAAGATAAATTGTAGATTTTTTGCAATGAATACCGCTTGTTTCCATGAAATAATTACCAGAAATCTGGGTCAACGCAAAAAGTAAATTTCAAAATAAATATTTTAAACATGCTATGCATCATCAAGATAACTTCATCACCAGATAAAAATTTATTGACATTTCTAAATAGGCATTGCTAAATTTACGATAAGTAGCACGACTGGTCAGGCTTTTCACCTTCAATAATTGCATTTCAATAGAACAACTGCAAGCTAGTCTATCGTTTCATTCTCATCTTTTCCCACTTCTTGATCTGAAATACATCAATCAGAGTTCTAAGACAGTAAGAAGCCGTCTTCTCATTGACAACTATAACTATAAGCCGGCAAGGGTAAAAAAAACAATTTCCACTCAAATAAAAGTAAAACAACAAGTATAAAAGTAAATAACTTATATGAAATGTAAATCCTAATTTTTGAATGACAAAGAATGTTTCGAAGATTTGCTGAATACTACGTTGATTGTGTTAATATACATAAAAAACACGAAAGGAATTAAAATTTCAAAAAAGCGAACATTTAAAACAGGATAATTTGCCATATATCACATTATGAAAAAAAAACACGACTCATTTTATTCAGAGGCAAAGCGGAGCTTCGCATCTCTTTGATACAACACTATCTCTTTCATAAAAAACATCAGTCCAAAAATGAAAAAAAAACAAGTTCTACCAAAGCTTTCGTATGACTCGGTTAAAGTTTATTCTAGGCAAACATGCCAGGCAAAAGGCTTGAATACTAAATAAGCAACGAAACAAAACATAAAAAACGAAAAAAACCGACAATCTTTAAGCAGACATCAGTTGAGCCGAAAAAAATGATTTTATACAAAAAAACTTTCATATCCCCCTTGAAACAATAATGAACAAAACTTGCAACTACAATGTAAAAAGCTCATACCAAATGAAAAACACGTGATGTGGCAAATAACACGAAAAGCTTGACCAGATAGACGAAAAAAGGACTATTTCATTTTTACTGAAAAAAAACAACGTCTGACCGGGACTCCAACCGCAGACCTTAGGGTGCAAAGACAACCACTTTACCTCTAAGCCCAGTGGAAAAATCCTGGAGGTTTAAAAGATTCATTGATAAAGCAATTAAAACAGAAAGTAAGATTTGCAAGAACAATTGCTTATGGGAAGTCTTTTTCCCCGATTACAGCACACTTGCTCTGGCTAGTGTAGTGTAACTAATTACTTTTATCCACATATTTATCAATCGCCTACTTATCAGCGGGTATAAATGAGCCTAAACCCATAATAATAACTGAGCTGGAAATAGATTTTATTATATTGGCAATTGAAATAAAAACGTCGGTGACTGAGCTGACAGAAAACCAAGAATTTTGATAATTTCTAAAAGCTAACATTCCATACAGGTTTAATAGGGCGTCTTATATGAGATAAGGCATATATGGAAAAAAAGTAACGCAGGTAGTATAAATAAAATTTCGACTAATTCAGCATGTCAGCGCACGAAATTTTAGACAAAAATAATAAGAGATTTTTTTTGGAACTTTTCTGATTATCATCGAATCGCAATATGAAGGGCTTTAACATGATATATCACTCAACCCTATCCTATGATAATTTGTGTTACCTGATTTCGCGCCATGAAAAGGCTCACTGCCTTATTCTGAGCTTGCTCGCTCGCTTTATTGACTCAAAAATGGACTAAAAATTGAAAACTTCAAACTAGTTTTTCTCGAAGAATTCACTCAATCCATTTGAATTTTACCGACACACATCACTCAACTCATTCTGATGCTCATTTGTGTTACCTGATTTTGCGGCTAAAATAAAAACTTATTACCTTGTTAAGCTCCTGCTCGGTGGCTTTATTCACTCGACAAAAGACTACAAACTAAAAATTTCAAACGGGTTTCTCTCAAAAAATTCACTCAGCCCATTCCAATTTCCTAAACACATATCACTCGAATCATTCCGATGATCATTTTTGGTACCTGATTTTGCGTGGGGAAAAAGCAAAAAACTTTGAAGCAATTTGTAACGCTTTCTTTGCAAAAAATTTACTTCTTCAATTCAAAAAATATTACAAACCTCTTTCGAGATTTGGGCGATGTTTGCTGGAATGATGACGATGCTTTCATTACGTCTTCTATGTACTGACTCAACACTTGATTTTCAGACTTCAGAACCAAATTGTCCTCCTTTATTGAATCCATTCTGTACGTCAGATCTATCATATCAAAATTACACTTCAGTCGAGTTTAATTTGGTACTTTACCGACCTGTCTTTTCTATAAGCAATTTTTTGATCACCTAGTCGTGATGTTTTAAATTTGGCAGAACAGCAAAAACCGGAATACCACACACATTCGATCTTCAAACACCACCTTAAATATGTGTTAGCATGTTATAGACACGTTATGAAGGAGGAAGAAATTTACTAAAGTAGCAGATGAAAAGCTTTGCCAAAATCGGTTTAAAAAATTGTATTTTTAACAGAATACCAAGATTTCTTAATATATTTTTTTGATTTGATACAGTAAATCCTATGTGAGAAAACTAATGTAAAGTCCACGGGTGATTGTAAAAATAAATCCATCTTGTTTCCAAAGCCTGTCAAATCTACTCTGAGTTGTTTAGAATTACTAGTCGATGTTTCGTCCTAAACTGTTACTATTTTTGAAACAGTGCCTAGGTGGATCGACAGTGACACAATTTTTTGAGCTAAAACACTCGTATAAAATTCTTTAGAAGATAGACTATCACAATTGTATCGCCATTATTTTATACACAGAGGCGAAGCAGAGCTTCGCATCACTTGCTATGTAAAAATTGTAAGTAAAGAAAAAATTGCCAAAAACTACTAACTCTGGTTTACTTTTTAAATAAGCAAATGAAAGACATAAAACCGAACAATGTTATTCAATTTTTCAGAAGCCTAGACAAACTAGATTAGAAAAACAACAAACGTGATCTGAAAAACCTGAACACGATACTAAAAAACAAAACATCAGTGACAATGAGAAATTTCGCAAACACTTTCGAAAAACAATTCAAACTCTTTAAAATTAATTTTATTAGTTCAACAGAAAAAGATAAGAAAAAAAAACAAATGAAGCATTAAAAAACACAATAACTAGAACAAGAAACTGTTTACAAAAAAAAAAAACAAATAATTTTGAATAGCTATGAAGCCAAAAAAAACGCAATTATTCATTTATCAAAAAAAATTGAAAATCCGATCAGACAAGAACAACAAGACAGAAAAAACGTTTTACCAAAAAATCAAACAGAAAAAAAATTACCAAACATTTAAGAAAAAGATATGCAATTGAACTATTCTTTAGAAAAAGTAGTCCGAAAACTGCTCAAAATTAACTCAACGTGAGAAAAAATTATTTATTATTTTAAATTAGCGATCTAAAATGGGAAAAATGATACCTACACCAAAAAAATATATATAATAAAAACAGCTGATCGAACAAACAAAAGCATAAAAGGTTAAAAACCAAAGTTATTGTGCAAACTGAAAACAAATACAAACAAAATTTGAAAACCTATTTTAAAAAATTTCGAAAAAAAATCGATCATTTTTGATTTCTTTTTATATTTTTAAAAATTTCACTTTTTTAGGAAGGCTCTGGGAATGTGATTAAGATTTGTCCAAAACATTTTGAAAGACTTCAATGATACTTATGAAAACCAACAAAAAGTAATTGCAAAAAATATTCGCAAAATGAGCCGACGGAAATAAAGCCGACACTCAAGTGCAGAAAAAGAACCGAAATTTTTGGACAAATGTTGGCACAAAAATTACTATTAAAGGAACTCATAATGGCCAAACAAGGCCCATACCTAACATGCAAATACTATATTTACCTCTGCAGTAAAACACGTGCGAACGAATTCACGTGCGAATTCTGTGGACAAAGTTGTTTACGGGGAAAAAAGTCTACTACCCGGTTGCAATACCCTTACTTATCGCAAGGGTAAAAAAATTGCTATAGTGTTTTGTTAAATCAACAAATGCATGGGTAAAAAAATTGCTATGGCGTTTTGTTAAGTCAACAAATGCATCTTTAAGCACTAAAATATGGTTTTCCTAGTTCATAACACAGCGGCGATTATAACACGTAAAAATAGGCAAAACAAAGACATACCATCTAAAGTTTTTTGCAGATCTAAGATCTGATCAATTAGGCGTGTTGACTCGTCCTCTTCGTCTATTGGCTTTGAGGATATCCCATTTGGTGTGCTGTGACCGTTTGCATGGCCATTTGTTATTGAAATGATTCCCGCATCTGCAGATGCTCCATGCAGATTATCAGAAAAGTCTTCTGCCACTTGACCACTTGCGCTAGTTATCAAATAGTTCGATCTAACAGCTGCGGCGGCTTCCTCTGCAATTTTGTCGGCTAATGCGTGATCTATACAAAAAAAACCTAGTTGTATGACAAAAATTCTATTATAAGTGAAAAAATGAAGCAAAAATTTAGTTTAGAATCAAATACAAGTAATCTAAATACGAGAAAAAGTATACACGTACCGTATTCACTATCACTGGATAAAGATATATTCGTCAGTACATCGCTATTTTTCGGCATGACAAACCTGAAGAATTCTATCAAACTGTCTGGAAAATAACAGTCAACTAAAAACACAAAAACCAAGACTAGCTTTGTCGCTTTATGCTGTGCCGCAAATTCGTCCTCATCAATAACTCAAACAAGATTCGTCTCAAACAAGATAAATTGTGGATTTTTTGCAATGAATACCGCTTGTTTCCATGAAAATAATTTCCAGAAATCTGGGTCAACGCAAAAAGTAAATTTCAAAATAAATATTTTTAACATGCTATGCATCATCAAGATAACTTCATCACCAGATAAAAATTTATTGACATTTCTAAATAGGCATTGCTAAATTTACGATAAGTAGCACGACTGGTCAGGCTTTTCACCTTCAATTATTGCATTTCAATAGAACAACTGCAAGCTAGTCTATCGTTTCATTCTCATCTTTTCCCACTTCTTGATCTGAAATACATCAATCAGAGTTCTAAGACAGTAAGAAGCCGTCTTCTCATTGACAACTATAACTATAAGCCGGCAAGGGTAAAAAAAACAATTTCCACTCAAATAAAAGTAAAACAACAAGTATAAAAGTAAATAACTTATATGAAGTGTAAATCCTAATTTTTGAATGACAAAGAATGTTTCGAAGATTTGCTGAATACTACGTTGATTGTGTTAATATACATAAAAAACACGAAAGGAATTAAAATTTCAAAAAAGCGAACATTTAAAACAGGATAATTTGCCATATATCACATTATGAAAAAAAAACACGACTCATTTTATTCAGAGGCAAAGCGGAGCTTCGCATCTCTTTGATACAACACTATCTCTTTCATAAAAAACATCAGTCCAAAAATGAAAAAAAACAAGTTCTACCAAAGCTTTCGTATGACTCGGTTAAAGTTTATTCTAGGCAAACATGCCAGGCAAAAAGCTTGAATACTAAATAAGCAACGAAACAAAACATAAAAAACGAAAAAAACCGACAATCTTTAAGCAGACATCACTTGAGCCGAAAAAAAATGATTTTATACAAAAAAACTTTCATATCCCCCTTGAAACAATAATGAACAAAACTTGCAACTACAATGTAAAAAGCTCATACCAAATGAAAAACACGTGATGTGGCAAATAACACGAAAAGCTTGACCAGATAGACGAAAAAAGGACTATTTCATTTTTACTGAAAAAAAACAACGTCTGACCGGGACTCCAACCGCAGACCTTAGGGTGCAAAGACAACCACTTTACCTCTAAGCCCAGTGGAAAAATCCTGGAGGTTTAAAAGATTCATTGATAAAGCAATTAAAACAGAAAGTAAGATTTGCAAGAACAATTGCTTATGGGAAGTCTTTTTCCCCGATTACAGCACACTTGCTCTGGCTAGTGTAGTGTAACTAATTACTTTTATCCACATATTTATCAATCGCCTACTTATCAGCGGGTATAAATGAGCCTAAACCCATAATAATAACTGAGCTGGAAATAGATTTTATTATATTGGCAATTGAAATAAAAACGTCGGTGACTGAGCTGACAGAAAACCAAGAATTTTGATAATTTCTAAAACCTAACATTCCATACAGGTTTAATAGGGCGTCTTATATGAGATAAGGCATATATGGAAAAAAAAGTAACGCAGGTAGTATAAATAAAATTACTACTAATTCAGCATGTCAGCGCACGAAATTTTAGACAAAAATAATAAGAGATTTTTTTTGGAACTTTTCTGATTATCATCGAATCGCAATATGAAGGGCTTTAACATGATATATCACTCAACCCTATCCTATGATAATTTGTGTTACCTGATTTCGCGCCATGAAAAGGCTCACTGCCTTATTCTGAGCTTGCTCGCTCGCTTTATTGACTCAAAAATGGACTAAAAATTGAAAACTTCAAACTAGTTTTTCTCGAAGAATTCACTCAATCCATTTGGATTTTACCGACACACATCACTCAACTCATTCTGATGCTCATTTGTGTTACCTGATTTTGCGGCTAAAATAAAAACTTATTACCTTGTTAAGCTCCTGCTCGGTGGCTTTATTCACTCGACAAAAGACTACAAACTAAAAATTTCAAACGGGTTTCTCTCAAAAAATTCACTCAGCCCATTCCAATTTCCTAAACACATATCACTCGAATCATTCCGATGATCATTTTTGGTACCTGATTTTGCGTGGGGAAAAAGCAAAAAACTTTGAAGCAATTTGTAACGCTTTCTTTGCAAAAAATTTACTTCTTCAATTCAAAAAATATTACAAACCTCTTTCGAGATTTGGGCGATGTTTGCTGGAATGATGACGATGCTTTCATTACGTCTTCTATGTACTGACTCAACACTTGATTTTCAGACTTCAGAACCAAATTGTCCTCCTTTATTGAATCCATTCTGTACGTCAGATCTATCATATCAAAATTACACTTCAGTCGAGTTTAATCATGGTACTTTACCGACCTGTCTTTTCTATAAGCAATTTTTTGATCACCTAGTCGTGATGTTTTAAATTTGGCAGAACAGCAAAAACCGGAATACCACACACATTCGATCTTCAAACACCACCTTAAATATGTGTTAGCATGTTATAGACACGTTATGAAGGAGGAAGAAATTTACTAAAGTAGCAGATGAAAAGCTTTGCCAAAATCGGTTTAAAAAATTGTATTTTTAACAGAATACCAAGATTTCTTAATATATTTTTTTGATTTGATACAGTAAATCCTATGTGAGAAAATTAATGTAAAGTCCACGGGTGATTGTAAAAATAAATCCATCTTGTTTCCAAAGCCTGTCAAATCTACTCTGAGTTGTTTAGAATTACTAGTCGATGTTTCGTCCTAAACTGTTACTATTTTTGAAACAGTGCCTAGGTGGATCGACAGTGACACAATTTTTTGAGCTAAAACACTCGTATAAAATTCTTTAGAAGATAGACTATCACAATTGTATCGCCATTATTTTATACACAGAGGCGAAGCAGAGCTTCGCATCACTTGCTATGTAAAAATTGTAAGTAAAGAAAAAATTGCCAAAAACTACTAACTCTGGTTTACTTTTTAAATAAGCAAATGAAAGACATAAAACCGAACAATGTTATTCAATTTTTCAGAAGCCTAGACAAACTAGATTAGAAAAACAACAAACGTGATCTGAAAAACCTGAACACGATATTAAAAAACAAAACATCAGTGACAATGAGAAATTTCGCAAACACTTTCGAAAAACAATTCAAACTCTTTAAAATTAATTTTATTAGTTCAACAGAAAAAGATAAGAAAAAAAACAAATGAAGCATTAAAAAACACAATAACTAGAACAAGAAACTGTTTACAAAAAAAAACAAATAATTTTGAATAGCTATGAAGCCAAAAAAAAAACGCAAATATTCATTTATCAAAAAAAATTGAAAATCCGATCAGACAAGAACAACAAGACAGAAAAAACGTTTTACCAAAAAATCAAACAGAAAAAAAATTACCAAACATTTAAGAAAAAGATATGCAATTGAACTATTCTTTAGAAAAAGTAGTCCGAAAACAGCTCAAAATTAACTCAAGGTGAGAAAAAATTATTTATTATTTTTAATTAGCGATCTAAAATGGGAAAAATGATACCTACACCAAAAAAATATATATAATAAAAACAGCTGATCGAACAAACAAAAGCATAAAAGGTTAAAAACCAAAGTTATTGTGCAAACTGAAAACAAATACAAACAAAATTTGAAAACCTATTTTAAAAAATTTCGAAAAAAAATCATCATTTTTGATTTCTTTTTATATTTTTAAAAATTTCACTTTTTTAGGAAGGCTCTGGGAATGTGATTAAGATTTGTCCAAAACATTTTGAAAGACTTCAATGATACTTATGAAAACCAACAAAAAGTAATTGCAAAAAATATTCGCAAAATGAGCCGACGGAAATAAAGCCGATACTCAAGTGCAGAAAAAGAACCGAAATTTTTGGACAAATGTTGGCACAAAAATTACTATTAAAGGAACTCATAATGGCCAAACAAGGCCCATACCTAACATGCAAATACTATATTTACCTCTGCAGTAAAACACGTGCGAACGAATTCACGTGCGAATTCTGTGGACAAAGTTGTTTACGGGGAAAAAAGTCTACTACCCGGTTGCAATACCCTTACTTATCGCAAGGGTAAAAAAATTGCTATAGTGTTTTGTTAAATCAACAAATGCATGGGTAAAAAAATTGCTATGGCGTTTTGTTAAGTCAACAAATGCATCTTTAAGCACTAAAATATGGTTTTCCTAGTTCATAACACAACGGCGATTATAACACGTAAAAATAGGCAAAACAAAGACATACCATCTAAAGTTTTTTGCAGATCTAAGATCTGATCAATTAGGCGTGTTGACTCGTCCTCTTCGTCTATTGGCTTTGAGGATATCCCATTTGGTGTGCTGTGACCGTTTGCATGGCCATTTGTTATTGAAATGATTCCCGCATCTGCAGATGCTCCATGCAGATTATCAGAAAAGTCTTCTGCCACTTGACCACTTGCGCTAGTTATCAAATAGTTCGATCTAACAGCTGCGGCGGCTTCCTCTGCAATTTTGTCGGCTAATGCGTGATCTATACAAAAAAAACCTAGTTGTATGACAAAAATTCTATTATAAGTGAAAAAATGAAGCAAAAATTTAGTTTAGAATCAAATACAAGTAATCTAAATACGAGAAAAAGTATACACGTACCGTATTCACTATCACTGGATAAAGATATATTCGTCAGTACATCGCTATTTTTCGGCATGACAAACCTGAAGAATTCTATCAAACTGTCTGGAAAATAACAGTCAACTAAAAACACAAAAACCAAGACTAGCTTTGTCGCTTTATGCTGTGCCTATAGTACAGAAAGTGCCGATTCACTAAAGTCCCTATACCTTCACAGGACAAAATAAATAGACTCCTAGATGTTCTCGAACAAAATGAAATTATCTTACCAGTGAAAAATGTGACATTCGACCAGAAGGTTCGAATATGCAGTTTAGCAATCGAAATTTTATCGATCAAAAAAAGAACATCTAACCCGGAAAATTGATGGTTTTAATGGATTAGCAGCGTTATTTCAAAAATTAGCCGAATCGGGAAGAGTTGGTTTTAACTGACATGCTAAATTCCAAAATTTCGATTTGGGCGTGAACGACACGTAACCTTTTTATATTTCGCACACACTGAAACGGCGAAACAAAACAACTACGAGAAAACGACAACAGAATGAAACTGTGATTGGAATTTGTCAGGAACCATTCCGAGTTGTAACGTTTGTATTGCTACAATCGTTACATTGCAGAACCCGAGAAAAAGGAAGGGTGTTGGTACGGTGTGTCCAGCCTTCACAGCAAAATTTAACAGCTAGAAATCAGTCGGCTTTTTTTGCACTTTTTTCATTACTTTCGCCTTTGATCTTTCTGACCTTCAAACACCAAATGAAAATTCACTAAAAACAAAAATACAGTCGTTTATATAGAGATTAGTCTGAGCTAGAAAATTTATTCGAATTAAACCAAACATCTGTGCATTATATTATCAAACCCCAAAATTTGAAAAATTCCATACATGCTTTATTCAAAAATCTGTATTAAAAAACCCAATTTGGCAAAAGAAAAAGACAGTTACAGAAAAACAATTTAGGAGAAAATGGAAATTATAGCTGTTCAACAGAAAAAGAAAACTGTTTTGCAGAAAAATTATTCGACAAAAAAAAAAAGTTAAATTTAGCAGAACATATTTATCGGCAGAAAAACAGGTAGTCATTGCTTGATCGAATCAGACGAGCCATCGAAATAAATTTGGGAAAGGAAAAAAACTTATATTTGCAGAAGAAAGTTATACAGCAGAAAAAGGATAATAATTTGCAAGGCTTATAAAAAACAAGAAAGGTCTCTTCATAAAACTCTCCTAATATCAGGGGATATCCACCCAAATCCAGGACCCTTGATGGAATTCAGTCAAATAAAGAAAAAACTGGAAAACTACAACAACAACTTAAAAGTACTACATCTTAATTGTAGAAGTTTAGCTAGAAAGCGTTCAGATCTTAAACAACTTATCAAAACTTTTAATGATAATACAGTTTTCGGATTTTCCGAGACATGGTTCAATGATACAAATGACAATAAATTATGGGCCATAGACAATCACAAACATAAGTTGTTCTGATGTGATAGAACTTATGAATCAAGTAAAAAATTGAAGGGTGGAGGGGTCATGTTACTGGTTCCTAAAAAGTTAAACCCAAAAGTAAGAAATGACTTAAACAACATGCACAAAAAGTATGATAGCATCCGGATAGAATTTAAAGCCGGACTCAACAAAAATGATAGAACCACTCTAATAAACCTAGCCTACAATCCTAATAGAAACAACAAAACAGACTTCTTAGAGGATCAAGCCAAATCAATTGACCATGCACAGTCATTTAATTCAAACGTAATTTTACTAGGAGATTACAATCTCAACTATCTCAACGAAGACGACAAACAGTCTTCAGATACAATCCTAATACCATTTAATCTGACGTCACTAACAAATTAACACCTACTCACTCAAAAGCACTAATTGACTATATTATCACCGACCTAGGCATAAAAGATCTAACAAATAATTCAATAGTATTCACACCACCAATTAAGACCGACCACCAAGCAACAGCATTCATTACAGAACTTAAGCTGAACAACAACATAAGACCAATCAAACGTAAAATATATGACAAATCCAATTATTCCAATTAAAAATTCAAACAAAAACTATCAGCTATAAATTGGAGAAGTTTCTATAGCAATAATAATCCCGAAATAATGCTCGACATCTTCACATCTAACTTTGCTGACACCATTAAAGAATGTGGCCCACAGAAGACTATTTTCATTTGCAACGACAAACCAAAGGTAAACTACGAAGATGATAAATTTATATCCCAACTGCTTAGCTCGAAAATAAGCGAACGCAAAAAATGGAGTATAATAAACGATACAAGAAACTCAAAAAATCTTCCAACCTCATTCCATTACTCAGAAACTCTTTCGGCGATTTCATAACCAACAATTTACAGATGGCAAACCTGCTAAATTACAAGTTCTCAACTCTTGGATGCTTTTATGAGTAAAGTTCAAAAATCAGGCAAAGTCCACCGACTTCTACATGCAACATTCGAAATAATAAAAAAATTTCATTCCGATTCATCACATCAGCCGAATGTAAAAAAAATACATAGTTTAAATTGTCGAAAGGCACCAGGTCCATCCAAAATTCCAGCCTGGGCATTGAAGGATGGCTGCAATGAAATATACACACATCTGACATTTCTATACAATGAGTTTTTGAAAAACAAGACATATCCTTGCAAGCTCAAAAAAGCAATTGTCACACCAATATACAATAAAGAAGATCCAGAACTACGAAAAACTAAAGGCCTATCTCTATAACTGGGGCTCTCTCAAAAAAAATTTTGAAAATTTTTTTATATTAACAACTCAACAAATATCTGATATCCCAAAAACTACTAATTAATACCCAATTTGGGTTCAAAACATCATATTCAACTATCGACGCTATTCTTTATTGTACTGAAGCATTCAGAAAAGCAAAAGACACGAACAAAACTGTAGCATGTTCCTTACTGGATATCTCTATAATGTTTGATTCTATTGATCATACTTATCTTAAACAGAAACTAAAAGGGTTAAACTTTTCCGAAGAAGCTATAGAAATGATCAATTCCTTTACCACCAACCGAAGCCAGAAAACAATTGTTAACAACACCGAATCCGATTAGACTGCACTTGAGCAGGGTGTTCCACAGGGCAGTTTCCTTGGCCCTCCGGAGGGGTCTCGGGCCCAAAACTCAAACTGTCTTATATAAACTTTTAGCTTCTTGTCATGTCCTGAGTTGAATTTAATTAACATCCTGATACATTTTCAGAGAATGGGAAGCTAGGAGTGAGGGAAAGGGTTGATCCATCTTCGATGGAGATGATGATTTTTATCTACTGAGCAAAAACGATAGTAAAATAATAAATAGTAGTAGCCCTGTTTTTAGGAGTGACCTCGTGGTCTGGGGATACTGAGACCCAGCCATGAGCTCACTATTTTTGCAATTAATTATTTTAATTTGAGTGTTTTGACCGAAGCAGGAAACAGTAACGTTTTTGTCGACCCGATTTTAGGAAAACCACCAAAAGAACTGGCTTTAGCAGAGACGGTGAAAAGCATGTAGAGCTGTGCTTAGACGCTAGCCAGTCGTTTTAGAACCTAGCTTTGTTTTTTGTCGATTTGTACTTCCGGGCGAATAATACATAGATGTTTTTATGGCGCTCCTGGGTGTTATTCTTTTTTTTACATCGAGACCGGCAGAACCGTTAATGAGCACTCCGCGCCGAGCGGATGCTCAAAACAACGCCCTAACCACCGGGCGGAAGGGTATCTCGGAACGCGGAAGCCTTCCGGATTCCCGTGAAAAGTTTTTTAACCTAGTTAAGACCGAAATTTCATGAGCCAGGAAGGGGGGTGATTGGCCGTCCCGTCGTCCCCTGAGAGGTTTGTGACCAGAAATCTTTGAAGATATAAAAGAAAACAAACAAAAATTAGTATAGTACCTAAGAAAAAGAGAAAGCATAAAATATAACCGAAAAAAAAACAGAAACAGAAAAAAAAGTTTAAAATCAGTAGAAATTATCCCCCCAGACGAGATGTGATCCGACCCTCCCGTTTTTGTTGTTAGATATATTATTGTTACAGGCATTTAAATCAGTCAGAATTGTTACGATCAATTTTGTGGCCCGTTTGTGGTGCTTGTACTGTAGTGTTATTTGAGTTTTTAAGCACGTTAATGCTAATTTGCGCTCAATCCGGAAGGGTATCGGGGTTAGAGAAGAAGGCTGATCCGGCAAGCAGTTCAAGGAGCGACAAGAAGCGGCTCAAGGACACAACAATCGACTGTTGGGTATCGTTAAAATCTTTGTATCCCTTTTGGTACAAAAAGTAAGATATTATTCTGTGGGGAGCTCGACAGTGACTGCACTGTACTGACCCTTCACCGAACTGCGAATTTCCGAGTTAACCACCTTAATTCGGAGATTGAACAAACCCGTATGGGTATAGTATTACTAGTATTATCATCTATACAGCCTATATTAATACTCCTATATCGTTTTTTAGTAAAAAACACATAAACGGACGGGTTTTTAGGGTCAAAATAGCGATATTTTGATCCCCCCAAAAATCGCGATTTTTGAGATGTCGATATTTTTTGAAACGGAAAAAAGCGCTAAAATAGTGAGTTACATAGTAACTGTACTAGTATAATGGGTAGAACCGGTTAAGTTTAGTTCGGAAGTGGTTGGAACTAATTGGTTACCAATAACCGAATTTTCTTCATTTTTGAAAATGCTACAAAATAAGAAAAATTTTTAAAAATTTTGAGTTAGGACAGTAAAAATTATTGTTCGGACAACGTTCACTAGTCAATCGACAGGTTTTGAAAACCGTTTGCCAATAACCTTCCGGGTTACAGTGAAATCGAACTTAACGTGTTTGATTTAGTGGATTCATCAATCCGGAAAGGTCCAAATAGCATTGTTTTTGGCACATTTTTTCAGCTGAAACGGTTTAGATTGGGTTTTGTCGACCCGATGTTAGGAAAACCACCAAAAGAACTGGCTTTAGCAGAGACGGTGAAAAGCATGTAGAGCTGTGTTTAGACGCTAGCCAGTCGTTTTAGAACCTAGCTTTATTTTTCGTCGATATGTACTTCCG